CCCGAAGTCATTAGACCGTGTATTTTTATGCGTTTATAGCTGGCGAGCGTCTTGGAAAGGGTATGAGAAACTTTCTCAGAAAATCATTATTTTCGATGCGACGCTTTTGAAAAGGAAACGTTAGAAACACACTTATACATTTGTTTAATTTTAGAAGCTATTAAGAAAGTTGAATTTCACGTTCGAAAATGTTGCATGCAACGGGGCCTGCGATGCAGAAGATTAACCTTTTGCACTCGACAAATTTGGCACTAGAAATATTCAATTTATTTTTATGAGATATAGATGACATTTTAACACGTTGAAAGCCATGGGGTCACCGGTGGCCTCTAAGCAAATCGAATTACTATAATTCACTCAATTAAACGATGATTATTCGCAAACATTTCTATATTATAAATAATGATACCCATTACGGTGACATTTAGTTTGATGAACGTGCAATGATAACAATCCAATTCAGTCAAATGATTTAATATCGTATTCTTTTTCATTTTGTGTATTTTCCTCTGTGAAATCGTGCGGCGTGCAACGTGTTAAACTAACTCAACGAGGAATCGATTCACCGAATGAGGGGAACAATAGTATTTTATTTCCACATTTCATACATCGACAGACTACTAGACTTAATGTTAAATACGAAATTTTATAATTTTGACGCACCAATCGAGGCACCTTTCGAGTTCAAAGGGTTAAAAGATTCCTTGAAGTGGATAGATAAATCGCTTTACGGTCTAATTTCGGCTATCCGAGTTTTTCACGCATCGGTTCGGTAACGAGAGCGGCGTTCCGACAATGAAAAAGTACCATTTGTACTCGCAGCATGAAGGGCCGCGAAGGAAAACTTTGAAAAGCGTTTGACAGCATCGAGAAGTCGGGCGCACAAGGGCGGTTTAATATGTCATGTAATCCGAAAGAGTGTATTCACACTCTTTGCTGAGTGCAAAGGGTTAAGATAAGACATTCGAAGTTGATTTTAGAACTGTGTTCTAAGATTCTCATCCGCGGGGATCGAATGTTGCATAAAAATCCGGCGTCCAATTATCACCGTTGATCACCGGAGAAGGTGAAGCGGACTGTAATCCCCGTCGCTCGACCATTCCTTTGTTCGCGAATAACCTGGGAACACTGATATCGAATCGCAGACGACATTGGAGAGCTCTCCGTCGTATTGCACCATTGTCGATACAATGCAACCTCGATATGGATCGGTGCATTGTCCAATTATCTATGTCGTGCTCGATCGCACGGCCAATCGATGACAGTTCCATTATTGATTTGTTCGTTAAACAACGGTGCCTGAAACATCGCCGCGACACCCGATTGGTCTGAACATTTACGCGTACTCAGTTAATTATATTCGTTGTGAAAGTGTCACAAGTGTATCTTCTAATTTTAACATTTCAATGAATGCAATCGTTATTCTACCTACCACTGAATGCAACAAGTATATGTATTCTCCAACTAGTTGATTCAATCGTTGGAAAATTCGAATTATTCGAATCGCTAACTTACTATTCATTAACATTACAAGATTATAATTCTATTCTATAAGAAATCTCAAAATATTTCCGTGATTCTTTTCAAAATTCTATGAGTTTTCAGTATTACGTGTGATCGTACGAAGATTCTATGGAAGTCATCATTTTGAATGATAAAATACAATAATTATATTATCCGATTCATTAACTGATTATTCATTAACATTACAAGATTCCAATTCTATCCTATAAGAAATCTCAAAATATTTCCACGGTCCTTTTCAAAATTCCCTGCGTTTTCAGTATTACGTGAGGTCGTACTAATAAAATCGTATTTCTTCTCACACAGGCAGTGCATTTGTTCATTCCGATACGATTTACGCCAACCGAAACTCTCGTCAATGGCTTCCATTGTCCACGGTTTAACGCGGACAGCAAACAGTGGCGAAACTGTCGAATCTGCATATAATATTCGGATCACGATCCCGCGTGCCCTAAGTCAGATCTAGGATCGAGGAGATACCCTATTTTTTCACCTGCCCGTATTGTGGCAACCCTTGGCAGGCCGATTCCGCCGCTTCCTCTCCCTTACCGATCTTTTCTTCGGTTGCACAATGTGAAGCTGCTAATATGTCGTCGCCACAATTCCACGCACCGATGGGGAACACTATGTGACAGTTTCCGGAGTTTATGGTGTTTCGTCCCCGAAGATAATAAAAGCGATACCCCGTACCAATGTCGATGATTCCACGGAGTTTCTAACGTTACCGTCGCCCCGCTGCGCCTTTCACGTTCTCCGAACATCGTGCGACGATCCTGAATTACGGAAAAAAGTGAATTCGAAGCAAGACTCGGTGCTGTTCATTTAAAAGGCTGGAATAAGTGATATCTTCTGTTTGCAATTATTAAAAAGACAGCTGTTTCTCTGAGAAATTAGTAAAGAAATTAGCAAACTGAATTGTGAATTAATTAAAATCTCAGTAGATACAATCTTGGGGTTTCTATCGAGGAATTTCGAATAATCAATTTAATCGTTTGACTGCTGACGGATTTTTTCGGACATATGCCAAAATTGCACTAATTGCGCGTGTATGGGAAAAATGGAAAACATTTTTCATACAATAAACTCACTTGTATTGCATTGCAACAACAAAAGTTTTTAAAAATACCATTTATTTACTTAAATTTGTTTTAATTCATTTTGTGGATAAAATTAGTAAAAACGCAGTATTGGCGTAACAAAAAAGCAGTCAAACGGTTAATTACTCGGTAGTTAGTGTTACAGTAAAAAGTATCAAATAAAGTGGCAACGAAAGATACACGATTGAACCATAAATGTTTCAAACTAAACACCAAATTCAGGAATATATATTAGAACTCATTCTGGAAAGGAATTATCATCGAAATTATATCTAAAACGGTAAAAAACTATTTTATCGAACTATATGAGGTACAACTAACTACAGAGTAGAACAGTTTCTACCATCCGCTTATAAACGATATAACCTTCAAGTGATTAACTGTGACAGAGCCGCAAGAAATCGACGACAGAAGAATTCTGTTCCAATTATTCGAAGAAAACTCGATTTGGACAAGTCACTGCGGCGACTGGAGATCCCGAGTCAGCCTGTCGCCGATCAGGTATGCAGACGTCTCTGCGTCGTTCCGCGCATAATTAGAGGGATTTTCAATAGCGTCCAGAGCGCGTGTAGCAGGTTGCACAGGCGAGCCAATAGTGAAAGTGTGTCAGCGTGTTTTTCATTTTTCACGCGGTGCCCGTAGACTTCTTGGTGGTCTTGAGACAGTTTGACGTCAGTCGATCGAGTTCTCGAGTTTATCCGCGCCGCCGGGTTAGTTTCGCGACGTTTCAGCCGATCCCATTCGTCCGATCTATCCGGGTGAATTTCTTTTTAATGAGCCGCGATGCACGTTCGAGCCGAATCTTCGGTTAGGGGTGCAATTGATATATCCGATGCCGTAGGAACGATGAAGTGCCATCTAAAGTCAGTTACTCGAGAACTAGAAAAGGATTCGCGTTTAATCGAACGGAAATAGCCGCAAGGGATGCGTGTAAATATGATTAAACAAGGGGTCCTCCGGAAGGGGTGAATTATAGCTGCGCAGAAGCAACGGTGTGAAAATATAGGGTGCTTCGGTTTTGAAAAAAGGAAGGAAGCGTTCCGTGTGCGGCTACCTGATAATAAGGTCATCCAGTTCCAACCCCTAACGAGACACGTGAGACTCATACATACGGATTCGAGTACTTCTGATTCAAATACTGAATGCAAGATCTGAATGTGCTCGACGCGAGCTGTCAATAGAATTATCCGAATCGCTGTTAATCACTCACACTAACCCTTTGCGGACGAAGATTCTCTGAAATATACAAAACCCTCAACAGATGAAGCTAAATTATATAACAATTACTTGAACAATAGAAAAATAGGAAACTACGTGTTAATCTCTTACGATTCCATTAATTAAATCATATGTTTACTTAGACTTCCAAATATAAAAATTTCATCTCGTCGAAATGACATTCGTCCGCAAAGGGTTAAAATACAATCAGACCGTCAACTCTACCCAAATTTGCACCCTTTTATCCTCGTTTCCTCCGATCGAGCAATCTATTGAGAAATCACTGAAATTTACATAGAATAGGAAAGAAGGTTCAAGTTTTCTAATTCTTTGATTAATCTATATTAACTCTAATACCACGTGTTTTTATAACGAACCATAGCACGATGAGACTCTCAGTGATGAGAATAAAAGGAACGATTAAAATGTTATTGTTTTTGTTTATAGGGCCCAAATTTTAAAAGCTCAACAAAACTGTTGCAATATGAAATAATCAAAAAATTTCAGTAAAAAGTTCAAATGTGACTCGAAGTCACATCGTGATCCGATTAGGGTTAACACTAGAAGTACCGAGCATTTAATACGATTAATACGCAATTCCTATAAAAATTGTAACGATAGATTATTCTCAGTTTCCTCAGACATTCATTACAATACTGAAATGAAACTATTTATTTTCAAAATCATTTCGAACATTCAATGCTTCGAAGATATCAATACTTGCTAAACAAAAATATTGAAACCAGTCATTTTGACTGGTAGTTCTAGTGTTAACACACATGGAATGATCGCCCTTTCGTACACCGAAATCAATAAGAAGCTATACATTACCGTGAAACCCGAGTCTGTATCGATAGCTGGAAATCCCGAGAAAAACAGAAAGTTAGCCATGCAGGGGATGAAGGGATGTAAGAGACGTCACCGGATCGAAGTTAAAAATTGCCGGCGTCGCGCGTTTCAGGGGCTGCCCACGACCACAACGAGGAAGCTCCGAGGGTTGCCGAAAGGGGGAGAGAAAGAGAAACCGTGTAAAATGGTGGGGGAAACGAGGCGGTGCGGTGTGGCACGA